ATTTGAAATATAACTTCAGTAAGTAGATCATGAATAATCACTTGCAATTCCTGGACTTGGGTAATAACATACTTGCTATCTACCATTTTGTAGTCCAAAAATTTTGCAGCTACGAATTTCTTCATCCCGGCTTCTTCAGTTTTGTATTTCTTTTCAAGCGCATTCCACAATTCTTTTGACGTCTCCACGCCACTGTATACATTATACAGATTATCCTCCAGTCCGCTAAGAATATAATTCCTGCACAAGAAGTCAGAATGCTTTCACGCCTCAATCACGAGAAAGCTTTCATTCTTTGGAGTTTCATCTGGAAGATCAGGAACATCTTCCTTGATGAACTTTTGTAGACATAACGTAGTCAAGTAGAAGAACATCTTCTGCTGCCAGCGCTTGAAATCCATCCCAGAAAATTTTCCGGGTTTCTCTGCCGGTGCCAACGCCGGAGTTTGACTTGTCGATGCGTTGGCAGTCATCATCGAAACAGCTTGATTTCCGTCATTCGCCATTTTTTTTTTCGAAAAAAAAAATGACACAAGCAAACGTTTAATAAACATTTAAAACTGGAGTGAAAAATCACGTAGATTTTAATCTCCAACAAAATGCCACGGAGGCTTTACTCTCCAAATGGGAGTACACAAAACCACAAAGGTTTTAAGTTTCCAGAATAATAAGAATAACACAAATACAGAAATTAAAATTATTAAATTCCGTAAGTTTGTTGTTCCTCCTGTATTTGTAAAATAATGATTATGGAAATTAAAACGTTAACTTATTAACGTAAATATAAATGATATAAATGAAACACAAATTAATTCGAGCCCACTGAATTCACAGTGTTTCCTTAAGGAATTTAATCCCCTCCTAGTACCCAAGGTTATGGATTATTTCCTCCCAAGATAGAACGAATTATACACTGGTGTAGCGGTACTTCAAACCTCAATGTTTCAGCAAACACAAAGTTCGGCAGCAAATCACACTTACTGTTGCTTTCTTAGTAGTTTAAAACAATGCAGAACAAGGGAGGAGAAGTCAGAAATTCGTATGGAAAATCTGAGAGGAAGGAGTGCAAAGTATAGCTAACGTTGAGTTTTCGGTGAAGAGAAGATCAATTGCTCTCAAGTTTTCAGTGTGTCTTCAACAGGCTGCTTGCACCCTCTATTTATAGTGCAATTAGCTGCTAAAAATGGACCCGCTGCCACTCATGAAGTGGAGCACTTGGCCATGGTGGACAGAGCACCAGGCTGTTTACTAATGGAGCAATCAATATGGCAATGGTGGCTGGAGCACTACTCATGGTGGAATGAGCACTTGCTCATTAATATTTACGGATTGGAAAACATCCGTTACAAACACAGATAATATTACGTTAATATTCACTATTAACAAATAAAAGCCGAAGCCGAAGCCGTAGCCGAGCCGAACGAGTGACGACGACGGCGCGAGGCTTGCCTTCTTCCTAACTCTTTAAGAGCTACATGAAGTGCATTTGTATATAAACCCACCAAACTCTTTTTCCTCTACCAACGAGGGACAATGTCTCGTTAAAAGGAGAGGGAAACTTAAAATTTTACTCAAAATTTCCATTTCCCTCCATTTCCCATTTACCCTCTTTTTAATACCTTTCTATATTAAAAAGAAACTCAACAATATTGTCGGTTTTGGGCGAAGTCCGTACGATTTTCCCCAAAAGGTTTTACATCATTAAGAGTATCTAACTCCTTATAAGTAAAATCTTTTCCTTTATACTTTTTATGTGGGTCTTTGTTCACATATGCCCAACACTGATCACATCACTAAAGTCAAAAGGATAATATTTTCAACATGTAGGCCATAATTTTTGAAAATACGAGGTTCTTGTACCTCTTCAAGAAAAAAGTGCTATGTTTATATTGCTATAAAAGAAGTTTCTTTGAAACCACAAAGTCAAATAGAAATAATAGAGAACATAATGGCTTACCATTCTAAATAAATAATAAGCAATCATTATGCAAGTAATACAACATAATTTTTTGATAAAAGAGTATTGCCCCTTGGTTAAATATGGCTTTGGCTCCACCACTAATCGTAATCAATTCAACATGCCTATGTTGCGTGATGAAATTGTTACCACTTCCATTCAAGTTCAGTAGTTTTTTAAAAATAAAAAACAAAAAGTACATAAGAAAAATCATGTAGACCACACTTGTAATAACGTCAAAAGATATGTTATAAACAAACAAAACAAGAAATTGAAAAAATCGCAAGCTAGATTTGACAATTTATTGGCTCTTTTCTTGCTGCGTTTGCGACAAACTAGTGATGTATTAGCCACACATGGTCAGATGTTCCAGAATACTTGCAAGATAATAGTGCAAGTCCTTAGTAACCTATATACCCGAAACCTAAAAAATGAAAATGATTCTGAAATTCTCACCATTTGCTCCTTCCCGAACTCTGATTTTCAACCCCAGGTTCCAACCCAGAAGAGTAATCCACATTCATGGCCTCTCCAATTCCCAATTCAGAGTTGTAGCCATGGCTGGGGCAGGGTCTGTTCAGAAGTCAGAGGAGGAGTGGCGTGCCATCCTCTCCCCTGAGCAATTCCGGATTCTGAGGCAGAAAGGCACAGAGTATGTTGTATAATCTCAATTCTTCTACCTGCTATTACATATTACCAATTAGTTGGGATTAAAACTTAGTTTTAGCTGCAATATTAGGCTCGTTGTTTGGTACAGGAGTCTTTCTTGTCTGGTTAGAAATTTGCTTGTCTGTGACATTTAGGGAATTCCAGTTTTAGAGAACTTATAACTTTATCTTAATAGTCAAATTATGTAGTATTGGAGAATGAGCCTGAATAGAGCGAATTGAACAAAGGACATATATTAGTTCGGATTGAGGCATAGTTAATTGATTTTGATCTGAACTGCTACCTATCATTGAATTGTTGCCACTTGTGACAAGTTTTCAGGAAAAATTTCAGGGTTAGTTTATCTGCTTGGTAGTATTGTTTGTTGACATAATATTGGATTCACTTACTAAGAGAAGTAGTTACTCATGCTTGAAAGAAGAGCAAAGGGGAAAAGGCATGAAAGCAAGCTAGTTGATGTAGGCATCTACCTATTAATTAAATGATTGGAATCCCTGATTTTTACTGTAGAATTAATTCACAGGAATCCAGGGACAGGGGAGTATAACAAGTTTTTTGGTGTAGGCACCTACCTGTGTGCTGGTTGTGGAACTCCCCTCTATAGGTCTGCAACAAAATTCAACTCACCCTGCGGCTGGCCTTCTTTTTATGAGGGTCTCCCCGGGGCCATAAATCGCAATGTGAGCTTCTCCTCAATTATATATGCTACTTCCCTATCCCTTTTTTACTTTCTAAATATTTTTAGATCGTTGTACCACAGCTCGTTCTCATTTTGCTCCTTTGATAACTCGAACGCCTTAACCTCTTTGTTAGAAATGAGTGTTCTATCAACCTCATTTCTACTGCTAGAGTTGCTAAAATTACAAAGCGAAAAGCAAGAGTTCAGGAACTTTTCCTATTTCCCTCTCCATTGCTTAATCTCTCTATTCATTAATGATTTTATTATCGGACTCTAACATTTTTGAGTTGATTGCGTGATTTTCAGCCTGACCCAGATGGGGTGAGGATGGAGATAACTTGTGCTGCTTGTGGGGGCCATCTTGGTCATGTTTTTAAAGGTGAAGGGTTTCGTACCCCAACGAATGAGCGCCATTGTGTCAATAGTATATCCCTTAAGTTCAAACCACCAAGTTCTTAATGCCTCGTGCTGAGTATGCAACGGTTATTATGAACTTAAATCTTTTCTCTAGCACTTGTCTCGCAAAGATTGATGCTTTGTTAACTGCTAATGACTGTATTATATTTGGATACAAAAAACACACCACCGCTCTTTAATGTAGCGTCAAAGGACAACAATAAGTTAGAACTTCTGCTAGTTCAAGTAGTACAGTAGATTTCACAGAACTTAGGTATTTGACTTACTAAAATATTTTTTGGCATAAAAAAAAAACTCAGTATCAAAGTCATGTACTTTATTTCTCTAACAATTGGCACTGCATTTGTAAAATACTTGTAGATATACTGGAATCCTACATGCATCAAAGAAATTTATAAAGACAGTAAGAGAAGTAAACATCCTGCACCAGCTAGAAATCACTGGTGCAAGTATATGACTTGCACCCGAAAATGAGAGGGGGAAAATGCAAAGGCAATGATGGCTTACCCTGATATCCCGATGTGGAGTAAAGAGATTTTTGCTGCTTTCAGCCTTCAGTGTGGAGCCAAAACTCATCTCCCACACTTAAGTGAACCAACATAGATGTGCGGCATATGAGCTATTTCTCGCCATTCCCGTTCAAGATGAGTGCAGTCTTGAATTGACAAATGCTGAAGAGTATTGAGGTGTTTTAATCCTTCTGGCAATGACATGAAACATGTGCAATTTGAAATTGCTAAAGATCTAAGATAAGAAAGTTTGGCAAGCCAGTCAGGAAGATCTGCAAGATCAAGACTGCTATGGATTACCAGACTTTTGCAACATAGTGACATGTTGAAGGCTAAGTGGTAATGGGCGTAATTCAGGACAGGATATAGTATTCAAGCTCCGTAGAATTGAGAGATTCTGCAAACTATCTGTAGATAAAGTTAACCGAGGGCAACCATTACAATAGAGAGCTGTTCTAAAACTGTGAGATGGAGGAACCCACTTGATAGAGAAATCAGGTTGCTGCAATTCTCAGTGGAGAGCTGAATCCTGCAATTTCTTCTGTTGGCAATGACTCTAAGCAGTGGCACCCATTGATATCAAAGTACTCCAAAGCTTTCAGCTTTCGAATTCCTGCTGGCAAATGGGTTAGTTTTTCACAGTAGCTAATGGTCAGTGGCTTCAGATCCATGAGATGCTTTATTTCTGAAGGAAGCGAAACAAGAGACTTTTGCATGAAAGTATTTCCAGAGTCTCCAGAGGTTTATTATTCTCCAGCAGTTTCACCGGAAGATGCATTAAACCCTGAAGTGCATCAATCACAAGATGGGAGAGTGAAGACATATTTTCCACAGACTCCAAGATCTTAGGGTGCCAATCACGGAGCTCCAGATAAAGAAGAGATTGAAATGTTGGAGCAGTGATGAGGTTAGGACACTTATCCCTTGATATAAGTTTTTTGAGGTTTACATGTGGATGAAGACACTCAAGGATACACTCCATGACAATGTCATTATCCCTCGGTAATGATCTTGATGTACCATCAACTTCTCTGCAAACCTCGCTGTTGCCAGCTTTACTATCTTCTCTTCGTTCCCACTTCCCCATTGGAACCTTAACAACTCAACATACTTCTTCGCCCTCAGATTAGCCAGTATAGCTTCTTCTTTGTCTCTGATATTCTCCAGGCACCTTATCCTCAATTCACCTCTTAAGTTTAGACAACTGATTTCAGTGATGCTTTCTCCAATCCCTTTGCCCACAGTGTATAAAGACGATGTTTGAAGCTGAGCCAAATTCCCCAGACCAGCAGGGAGGCGAGTCAGACCATCACGTCCTGCTATGTTAAGGTGCCTTAAGCCAGTTATATTAGCCAAGCCAAAAGGTAACTCCATTAGATTACCACAAGATGAAAGGTTCAGGGTTTACATATTACAAAGGTTGCAGATAGCATGAGGGAGTGATTGAATAGAAGTGTTTGAGAGATCAAGGTATCTCAAGCATATCAAATCACTAATCGACTCATGCACCTTTTTCAATACATCCACTTAAATCCAGGACTCGCAAGTATTGAAAGTTCAGTGGAAAAGACGGGACATCTCGGGTGCAAAAAAAGAATAGGAGCGTGCGCAGATCTTTGGCACCATACAATTCCTTTGGAAGTGAAGTAGGATCTGAATGACAAAGGATTGACAGGTGTAAGCCCGTGCCATGCTACCTTGGGCAAGGTCATGTCCCAACATCTCGAAGTCTTTACTCCCAACGGTTTCAGCAAGATCACGGATGAAATCGTGCATCTTAGTATATTGCTATGTCAATCTCATCAAAAAATTTGACTTCTTGGAAGAATGATAAGCACAACAAGTCATTGAAATACTCATTGCCTATATCCTCCAACTGTCTGTTTCTCTCATGGCATTGTAGGATTGCGTAGAGGTGTTCATAACACGCAGCGGAAGACAATAGCAATCCTAGGCAGAACTTTTCGTGTTTAAAATTTATTTACATGTCATAAATCGGATCTAAGACAAACTCTTTGATCAATGAAACCCCGTGAACAAATTGAATGAAAATATTGTGTTGAAATTTTTCTCAAAAATTTCAACTTAAAATAGAAGAACAAGAAACACCTTTCGTGTAATATTATTTTCTCTCTTGGCTTTGTATTGCACTCTCACTTTCACAAAGTGATTTTTCTTCTCAAGACTTATTTTCCAAAATTGCACGACAAGAATTATTCTTGTACGTTTTTCTCTTAATTCTGTGGCTTCTTGAAAGTATTATTTTTTCATCATAGATTTTCATGTCAATTGGACATATTTATAACCTCTGAAAATCCTTTTTCATTATATCAAAGGAAAAGTCGGAGGCGGTGAACTTTTGTACAATTCTAAACCGAAAGTAAGTTGCCATTGTTGAAAAAATTGAATCTCATTCAAAATGAGATTGTGGCTGCCCACATGTTGGACTTTCAAATACAAGTCAAATATGGATTCTTGTCAAAATCGAAAGTAAGTTTGCCATTGTTGAAAAATTAAATCTCATTCTAAATGAGATTGTGGCCGCCCACATGTTGGATTTTTCAAATACAATTCAAAGTTTCCACCAAACTTCTTTCTTAATGAATATTTTATATAACATCTTTTATATATAAGATAAGTGTTAATTATATATATCACATATATATTTTAGCCAAGAGATATAATTTAGTTTTCTATTCCAAAATAGAATATTTCAATTTGTTCACAATATTAATTATATCATCTGTGCTAGCAAAGAATATAATAATATTTTATTTGGACTAATAACTAAATTTATTTGACTAATTAAATTCTTTAATTTAATTATCAAATAATAAAGTAATTAATCCTTTAACAAAGATTAGAACACTCGTTAGTGTGCGACCCCATAGGTTCAATACTAAGCCGGTAGTAAATTGATCACATCAATATACTAATCAAGGGTGGCGTCTAACAACACTCCTTAACGACCGGATAACATGAATTATACAATTTACTCTCAAGAACATGTAGAAGAATAATGTATTAATTCCTTCTGTCATTATAGCTCTGGGTCACCCTAGGATATGGTTCAACTGTCAAATCCTAATAGGCGACCAACTATGTGTTCATGTCAAATATAATCAACCATTGATTGACCTAAGAAACCCTTTTCTTCTTTCATTCAATCGCCCTGACCAAGGTCTTAATTTGGTCGGTTATAATTCATGACAACATGGAGCTTAAACTCATTACCAAGAGTTGACAGATTCCATCTTGATCAATTACTAACTCTACAAGTATTTAATCATACCCAATATCCTTTCAACTATCGCTCTAGGGCCATAGGTGTCTAGTATCAAAGTACAATAAATAACTTGTCAATTACTATGATGATATCAGGTCAAAGGAAGTTCTTACATCACATTCTTCCAGAGAATATCCCATTGACAGTTTATGGTAATTCTAACCATTAGGAATTATCCAATGAGTCGGTTCAATGATCATATCTCTATATGCATCATCTATCTATGTGATTCAGTTAATGAAATCAACTAATCTTTATCCTATAAAGACGATCACATAGATATTGATCTAACAACAACTACCCAGTAAAATCCCACAAAGTGGGGTCTAGGGAGGGTAATGTGTACACAAACCTTACCCCTACCCTGATAGGGCAGAGAGGCTGTTTCCGATAGACCCTCGGCTCAGAAAAAAGAAAAAGAGAAGGAGACAATTCATTAGTAACTCCAGTAGAAACCATAATAGTAACAGAAGCATAACAACCAAAAGATAAATGATATGCAATAACAGTAACCAGTAACTAAGGCCCGGGGCTAGGATAAACAGCAAGGATAGTGTGGATTCAACATAAACTGCAAGCTATCTAAGATCAGCCCTAATCCAACCCCGCCTCACCCCCGGTATGAAGTACCATGTCAAGTGCCATGTCCTCAGAAATCTGAAGTCATACCATGTCATGCCTGATCACCTCTCCCCAATACTTCTTAAGCCTCCCTCTACCTCTTCTCGTACCCACCACGGCCAACCGCTCACACCTCTTCACCGGAGCATCAAGGTTTCTCCTCCGCACATGCCCGAACCATCTGAGCCTCGCTTCCCGCATCTTGTTATCCACAGGTGCCACGCCCACCTTCTTCTGAATATCCTCATTCCTAATCTTGTCTATCCTAGTGTGCCCGCACATCCACCTCAACATCCTCATTTCTGCTACTTTCATCCTCTGGATATGGTAGTTCTTAACCGGCCAACACTCTGCCTCATACAACATGGTCGGTCTAACCACAACTCTATAAAACTTACCTTTGAGTAACGGTGGTACTTTCTTGTCACACAAAACTCCCGATGCAAGCCTCCATTTCATCCAGCCCGCCCCTATACGGTGAGTGACGTCCTCGTCGATCTCTCCGTCCCCATGGATCATCGACCCAAGATACTTGAAGCTATCTCTCTTGGGGATGACCTGTGATCC